GTGGAATTTATTCCAGGAATGCAGGGATTGTTTAGCATATGCAAATCAATAAATGTAACACATCAACAGAGCCAAAAATAAAAATCACATTGTCATCTCCACAGATGCAGAAAAATCTTTTGATAAAGTCCAAAACTTGTTCATGATAAACACTCTACAGAAATTCGGAATAGATGGTATCTACTTCAATTTCATAAAGGCCATCTATGACAAACCAACAGTCAACATGATACTAAATGGAAAAACTGAAAGTCTTTACTCTAAAATCAGGAACAAGACAAGGATGTCCACTATCACCACTCCTATTCAATATAGTTCTGGAAATATTAGCCAGAGCAATCAGACAAGAGAGAGAAATAAAAGAAATAAAGATAAGAAAGGAAGAAGTAAATTTATCATTATTTGCAGATGACATGATACTTTATGTAAAAGACCAAAAAAATCTCCTTTAAAAGACTACTAGAGGTAATAAACTAATTCAGCAGTGTAATCAGATACAAAGTCAATGCTCAAAAATCAATAGCATTCATGTACACAAACAAAAGATTCACCCTTCACAATAGCATCTAAAGAAATGAAATACCTTGAAATCAACCTAACCAAGAATGCAAAAAGACCTATATGCTGAAAATTTTACTACTCTTAAAAAGGAGATTGAAGAGGATATTAGAAAATGGAAAGATATCCTTTGCTCATGGTTAGAAAGAGCCAACATTGTGAAAATGGCCATATTCCCAAAACTGTACATAGATTTAATGCAATTCCAGCCAAAATACCATTAACATACCTAACAGATATAGAGAAAACACTTGTAAAATTCATTTGGAAACAGAAGAAACCTAGAATAACAGAGGCAATTCTGGACAACAAAGGCAAAGCAAGAGGCATCTCAACTCCTGACTTGAAACTATACTACAAAGCCACAGTGATAAAATCAGCATGGGACTGGCAAAGAAATAGACCACAGATTAGAAGATGCAAGCACAACTACAAAGACACTCAGCCACCTAATATTTGACAAAGGGGCTAAACATGTTCACTGGAAAAAAGGTAGCCTCTTTAGTAAATGGTGTTGGAAAAATTGGCTTTCCACATGCCAAAGACTAAAACTAGACCTATGCCTATCACTGTGCACTAAAGTCAAAATGGATCAAATTCTAATCATTAAAACAGAAACACCAAATCTATTGGAAGACAAGATAGGTAGAAAACTTGGAGACATAGGGAATAGGTAAAGAATTCATGAACAAAACACAAACCACACAGGAAATACTTCAAGAATCAACAACTGGGATCTCATCTTATTAAAGTTTTTGTGCTTCAAAAGACATCACCAACAAAGTGAAAAGAAAATCCACAGAATGGGAAAGAATTTTAGCCAACAATCCCTCAGACAAAGGATTTATATCCAGAGTATATAAAAAGAGTTGAAAAACATCAAGCCCCCAAATTCAAAGACTCTCTCCAAAAATGGGCATTTGGGATGGACACACATTTCTCAGATGAAGACATACAAATGGAAAATAAATACATGAAGAAGTGTTCACCATCACTGGTCATTTGAGAAATGCAAATTAAAACAGCACTGAGATTTCATCTCACTCTGGAAAGAATGGCTGGCATCAAGAAATCAACTATAAGAAACGTTGGCGAGGCTGTGGGGGAAAAGGAACACTTGTCCACAATTGGTGGAAGTGTAGACTGGTGCAGCCACTATGGAAATCAGATTTCTCAGAGGACTAGAAGTAGAAGTTCCATTCAACCCAGTTATTCCCCTCCTGGGTATTTTCCCAAAAAATTTGAAAAGATCATACCACAGTGATATATGTGCATCCATGTTTATAGCAGCACAATTTGTAATAACTAAATCTTGGAAACAACCAAAATCCCATCCTATTGTAGAATGGATGAAAAAGATGTGGTATTTTTATACAATGGAATATTAATCAGCTATAAAAAGAATGATCTTGAGGCCTTTGGAGGTAAATGGAGACAACTTGTAACTGTCCTCATAAGTGAAATAAATAAGTCTCACATTTGTAAATTTCACGTTGTCTCTCTAGCATAAAAATAATAAAAACTGAAAGAGTAAGATTAAAAATACATAAAAGATATTGTAAAAATGAAATGAAAGTGCTCTAAAGGTTATAACTATATGAATATTTATGTGTGTTAACTGGACATATTACTAAGTTTCCATTAGATCATTGAGCAGAATGGTTTGCACTGCCAATGTTTGTCCACTTTTTATGCTTTAATTTTGTATCTTGAACAACTATTTCTAAGAGGACAATATGTAACTTAACTAGTTATTTCTTAGTGTTAATATTTTTCTTTGAAAGTCTGTATTACTTATGCCCTTTTTTCTGTTGTCTTTTCTTTCTTTTTTCTTTAAAAAAATCTACCCCAGTGTTATTTGACTATTATCTATACAATATTTACATACGTGGTAACAGATTTATTGAAAGATTTACATATATGTTATATATACAAGGAGTAATCAAAAGATATAATTAATGTTTACATTTTTTTAAAAAATTATTACAGTAAAACACATACCTCCAAGAATGATAGAATAAGTTTGCTTGAAGTGAGGGAAAACATTTTGAAAGAAATAAATGATAATGTGTCTTTCATTGTAAATAATTTTAAAATTTAAGCACTCCCTGTATTTCTTGATCACACCATGTTAATTAAATACTTATGGCAATTTCTATCAAATAAAAATAGAACTAGTCAGCTATGGAAAAAGTCTTTGAAGCTGTGAAACAAAACTTTCCCTTTTTTTCATATTGTGTCTATCAGATACTGTATCCCAGTAACAGAAACCTGACAATGACAGTTAACTAGAAACTTATCAGTTTTCAAGTAGTCAATTTTGCCTTTGTTCATCTTTATATTGTACTTTTGTTTTCTTTTTCTTCAACTCTTTACTATTTTCTTGTACTTACTTTGAATTATTTTGTTCTTTGTTTCTTAACTAGTTGCAATCTTATATAACTGATTTAAAATTTCCTTTTGTACTGTAATTGTTTGGAACTGTTTTTCTAAACACCTCTTTGGCTGCATCCCATATACTTTGATATATTTTATTTTCATGAGCATTCAGCTTAAAATATATTTTAGGTTTTTTTTGTTATTTTTCCTTACACATCAGTTATTTATAAATGTATTACTAATTTACAAGTATTTTAGAATTTACTGCTTACAGTGCTAACACTGCTTTCAAATTTAATTCATTTGTGTTCCATGCTTTAGATTTTGCTGAGACACTTTTCATGAACCATATGTACTCCATCAGGCCATGTGCCATACTCCACAGAAAAGAATATACGCTCTGAAAGGTCAATAGTGTCTTCTAAATGTCCCCATAATCAATTTTCAGTAGTCTTTTTCAGTGTCCTAAATCTGCACTGAATTTTTGCCTACTTCTATTACTAATTATTGCAGAGGAGAGTTAAAAATATAGAGATGTAACTATAGACATGTTTGTTTTCTTTCAGTTGTCAATTCATGCTTTATTCTTTGCATACATGTCACTTTTAATGTGTTCTTGTGTTATTTCATCTTGTAATATTTCTTTCTGAAAACACTCCACTTCCTTATAGTTAATTTGCCTGCTATTCTAATCAATTATAATTATTCTGTGATGAAACTTAAAACCTGTTTCCCCAAACCAACACAGTCACTTAATCATCATGGAAAGGAAGAAGGAAAACAAATAAGTAAACAGGGTTTATTTAAAAAAAAAAACTCTGAAACTCTGAACTTTGAGGAATTCTGAAAAGTTAAAATGCCATTATTTTGCCAGAGGAAAAGTGTTCATGAAAGCAGATGGACCTGCATTTTCCACATCCGCTCTCACGTGAGTCCTCCTGTTAAGCTGTGATAAGCAATGCAAGAGTTAACTAAGTTCGCATTCTTCCATCTTTTGTAGGTTTCACGCTTTTACAATCATTCACATTTTATGAAACTCTCCTGAAGGAGAACATGTCAACATTATGCATGTCCCTTAACTTTAAGTTAAATAGCGTAATTGATTTCATCACATAATCTGGAGACAAGTAAGATTCCCCTTTCCAAAGAGAGTCTTGACAGGAATGTATTTCTTTCACGTTTGGGTAGTACTACAATTAGACCAGACACACCACAGATTATAATTGGATCTATGGGACACAATCCCTAGAGTTTCAGAATCTGTACTATTGTACAAACATGCTTGTAACTGTAATTTGCTGCCTTGTTTACAAACTTTCCAAAATCATGCAGCCCCTTAAATTGCCTTCCAGTGCCAATGACTGGTCCTTTGGAGGGTGTCTGCACAGCACAGATACCAGGACAAGCACAGTAATATGAAAGGCACTCATGCCTTGCATCTATCAATGTCTGCAACCCCGTTTCTAGGTTGGGAAGGAAACCTTTGCTTCTTTCTAAGTCATCAGGATTTTCAGTGAATCGGTTTGTGTCTGCAGAAATCTATACTGCTTTTTTACTCCTTGAACTTTGGGCATAGCTCCAAGAGTGGCAGAAGACACAGTAAACTTGGGAAACAGAACTTTTCTAAGTGAGAAGACTATTACCAAACTAGAAGAAGAAAATAATTTCAATGATTCAAAGGTAAATACATGACAGAATAGTAAATCAGTTACAAATGTAGTTTTCAAAAAAGAAGAAAGCAAAACTTAACATTTTATTTAACTTCTTTCATGTTTACTAACTAAACCCAATTCTAGTCTACCCCCCTTAACACTCATAAAGAAGAAAATCTTGTGATAACAATAGTAATCTGAGGATTTATCTATTGATTTCCCACTTAAATTATACTAATAGAAGATTGTTCAAGCATTCATAACAGTTGGTAACCTAGAGAACGATATAAGTACATAATATAACACGAAGAAAAATATGGCAGAAAATGTGAAAGGGGGATCATTTGTTCGATATGTATAACATATGATACTAATACATCTGTGTGTGTATAATGAACATATCATAATAAAATGCTTCAGGAAAACTGGACATCTGTAACGGTTTTTATCTTCCTGGGATTTTCCCACTACCCCAAAATTGAGGTCATCATATTTACTCTGTGTCTGCTGATGTACCTCTTCACCTTGCTGGGAAACCTAATTCTGATCTCCATCACCATCCTGAATTCCCACTTGCACACCCCCATGTACTTCTTCCTCAGCAACCTCTCCATTCTGGACATCTGGTATACCTCTTCTGTGCTCACTCCAATGCTAGCCAACTTTGTTGTAGGGAAAAACACCATCTCATTCTCAGGATGCGCTTCTCAGATGTACTTCTCTCTTGCCATGGGCTCCACTGAGTGTGTACTGCTCTCCATGATGGCCTATGACAGGTACGTGGCCATCTGCCATCCCCTGAGATATCCTATCATCATAAACAGGAGGGTCTGTGTGCAGATTGCTGCTGGCTCCTGGGTGACAGGCTGCCTCACTGCCCTGGTGGAGACAGTGGCTGTGCTGCAGCTGTCTTTCTGCAGAAACAGTGTCATCAATCACTTCACATGTGAAATTCTAGCTATCTTGAAACTGGCTTGTGTAGACACCTCCACAGTGCAGCTAATCATGTTAGCGATCAGTGCACTCCTTCTGCCCATGCCATTGCTGCTCATTTGTACTTCATACGTCTACATCCTCTCCAGCATCCAGAGAGTCCATTCAGGAGATGGTCAGAGCAAAGCCTTTTCTACATGTGCAGCCCACTTGACCGTGGTTGTTCTGTTCTATGGCACGGCTCTCTCCATGTACTTGAAGCCCTCAGAAGTGAATACACAGGAAATAGATAAGTTTATGGCTTTGATATATGCTGTATTAACTCCCATGTTGAATCCTATTATCTATAGTTTAAGGAACAAAGAGGTAAAAGTGGCTGTGAAAAAATTGCTGATGAAAAATCCTTTAAGTACTGCCTTAATATCCACCCTCAAGTAGTGTAATATGCACACTTATCTAGACAATCTCCAACATTATCTGGAAAACTGCATAATAGGGCTATAAACCAAAACTCTTATAATAGTAATATAAACTTTTCAACAGGAACTCACCCATGTTCTCTGTCTTCAGTGCTTTCAGTATTAATAAATCAATTACAAAGAATTTTGTTTCCAGGAAAAGAATTAACTTTAAAATTAGGCAACTGTTCATTGTTTCATACTTGACTTACTGTATAAGCTTAGAGTAACATACTGGCATTCTATGAAAATAACTAATATAGCGAGAATGTAGAATTTTGAGCTCAACAACTTTTGAAATATCTCATGAAAAGCAACTTCTTCAAGTTTAAGAAATATACATCTTTTAAATTAATCAACAATATACATGTTTTCTAAAACCAAAAACACCATCAATTAAGAATTCCTCATAGTCTCTGTAATGATTAAATGTAAAAAAATATATTATATAGAAGAGGAATACTTTGTTTATTTGTGATGTGTATGTGGGTAATGAATAAATATCTGTATATGCACAAATTTATCCTAAGAAGCATTGATACCATTGTAATCGTATGCATGGGGTGGAGTAAAGATGTGACAATCTGGAGATGTTACAGGAGCTGTGGGAGTAAGGTCACAGTGTTCTCACATTGTACTTCATTGTCTTGGTGAATTAATCAACACTTGTATACCAAATGTTATTTTTTTAAAGTATGTCAAATACTTGACTGATTAAGTTTGAGGAACTAAAGATCTTTATCCTATAGTGATTACACTGCAGAATTAAAGATCCATTTACTGTAAACATCTTAGGAAAAGTCATGAATATATTTAATATATGCATGAAAATTGTAAGAATTATAATTTTATAATGCAAATGGATGTGTTTTTGTTGTCTTTTATGACTTCATTTGAGGTGGGAAAAATGAGACCAATGTATACACATCACTTCCTCTTTATTAGAGAAATGTCATGAAATTGATGAGATTGATGGCTTTGTTCTATGGAAAACATACTTATTGTTGCCACAAAGACAACCCCTGAGCCTTTGGTTTAGGGGAGGTGAGAAAATTGAAATGCTTGTCACAGTAAGTCTCAGCCTGAACAAGGCAGAACTCTAAAGGAGTAATTCAGTCATGGATGAATGTGTTGAAGAAGAAACCATGTAGGAGAAAAAAAGTATGAAGTATGCACTGTTGTTGATTGTAATCCAAAAGTCCTTAGACTATGTGAGAAAACTTTTCTCTGTCCTAGCTGATGCCCAGCTCTAATAACTCAAAATCACTCCAAAGGTAGCAACAATAAATTTGTATGAGGAACAAAAACAACACAGTTATTTTTATTTGCATCCTGATTTATACATTCTGCTGTTAGATCCTATTGACCACAACATGATACTAGTGTCCGAAGAGGAGAAAAGTACTAAACATATTGTTCACCCCATCTGTACACCAACTTATAAAAGCATTAATTTCAAATAATAGCAAACATTACGCATACACATATTGTAATTTTATTATATAGACAAAGGAAAACATGTAAAATTTGAAATGAAAATTTTGTCCCCCTCAGTTCAATAGGTTATCTTTTTCACATTTTTCTGTATTTTTAAAGCATGTGGATGAGCTAGGAAGTGCTGGTACAGGAACACAAAGGAAATCGTATTCCAGTAACACTGTTTTCTAATACTGGCTGGATCCTTGCAAGTCTGAAAATTGTCCTCAGATATCAGGTATATCTGCAAGAATCATTTTCCACCAATAATGTGGGCTGGGATGGAGTTAATTCTGCTTAGCCCAAATTTGTTTTTGCTGTTTATTCTCAAGATAGCAAGATATATATAAATTGAATTTCCTTTGATTGCTTATTCATTATTCTATCCTTGATGAGGAGTCCTATTATTACAACATTATTAATGGAAGAAATAGCTCATTAATATATAGCGTACATAATTGCACCACATTTAATTCGGCTTTTCTGACGTAATATCCAATTAATTACTTTGCTTGCATTATTTATATTTGATGTTCCCAATATTTTACTCACAAATGTGATTGGCTTCAATGTGTTATAACTTCTCTGAAATCTTACCATTTTAGCTCTCACACACTAGGCTTGGTTCCAAGGACTTTGGGAGCATTTCACCATGACCCACCTCTGTGCACCACCTTCAGATATATTCATACACTGCTCACAGGAAGCATTTGACTCACGGATCACTGAGAACTCACCCATTCCACTAGATTAATAAATATCTCTTTAATTTTTTTCTAAATATTCTTGGGGTTTTTCAATTTTGAGTTTAATTAGATTTCAATTGATTTTTATTTGATCCTTGTTATTTCAGTAATTTCTTTTTTTAATTTTATTTAAGGAGAAAAAGAACAGAAAAAGGGTACAAGTTATACAGAATTTCAGAAAAAAATAAACAGTAGGAAATCACTAGTTAATAGATTGCATATTGTCACCTTAGAAATAGTTGTTCAAGTTACAAAATTAAAGCATATAAAGTGGACATTCAAACAGTGAGATTGCAAACAGTTCTATTCAATGATCTAACACAACTCAGTAATATGGTTATCTGTCTTATACACTTAAATATACATGCAGTTATATCCTTTAGAGCACTTTCTTTTCCTCTCTTTTGTACATGACAATTACATATTTTGGGTTTTATTACTCCCAAAGTTCTTATTACTTTTCTTGAAGAGAATAAAACAAATGTGGCATAACAAAACAGAGTCAGTCAAATCAAAAGGATGGACATAGTACATACTGTAAAAACAAAATGCAAGGTGATCAACATTGGTTACCATAATGCCTCTTGCTATCTTAAAAAGAATTGCCTATATCATCAGTTATAATAAAATTGAACAAAACAGTAAAGCACAAAACCAATAAAACCAAAACACTGGAGACATTGCAGGACTTCAAAAGAAGATAATAGTCAAACCAGAATGGGCATCATAATGAATCTTATTGTCTTCACAGTCGTTGCCTGTACTCTCGAACTTGGTAGTATCAAGCAAAACAGAATAGAGGAAAATCAGTCAAAACAACATGGTGAAAGCAATACAGGGTTTCAAATCAAGTTAATAGGAAATCAAAGTGGGTTATTATAATATATCCTGCTATTTTTTATTTTTCCCTTAATTACAAAGATAAAGATAAAAAAGTAAATAATAAAAAAGGAGATTGAGATAAAAGAGGACATACAACAAAACATATTTCAGTAATTTCCCATGCATCCAAATAACACAACTAATTTCTATGCTATTTGACTTTAATGCATCTTGAAAATTTCCTAAATTGGTCAGAATATAAGGATCCCTTGGAATGTTTGTCAAAGGTATTATCAAGATCAATCTAGAAATTGAGATTTCTAGGGGATAGACTTGTTAAACGGTATGTTTTATAAGAACCAAAGAATTTTATCACATGAAAATGATAAGAAGCTGTGACACCAAGCCTTAAATGGAAAAGTTTGAACCTAACCTGGACCGTACTCCCACCCAACCAGGTAACTTTTATACAATGTTTCAGGAAACTTCATCCAAGTGATTTTAATATCGTCTGTCTTCCACTGTCTCTCCATGGTCTGAAGTCTTGCCTAGGTCTCGCTTGCAATTTGTTTCTTCTCAAAGATCTCTGCACTGTTTTCAAAGAGTCATAAAAGGCCCATGAGAAGGAATTGACAGTTCCTCTTGTGATGCATTTAGGACACAGCTGATGATCTAAACAACTCTCATCCAGCACAAATGCTTATCAGTAGGGACTGACATTTGCAGTACCATAGAAAAAAGTCATCACCTCAAATAATTATGCACTATAGAGTGTGCAAATAAATTATCTAGGGAACAAAAGCAAGGCTTTGAATGTCAAAGAAATGAGGGCTAACAAGAACTTCCATTGGAGAATGATTTATTTACAAGGTGCTAGCAAATATAAAGAAAGAAGCACCTAAGTGCTCATTGAATGAGGCACTGGCTGTGCTGATAATACTAACAGTAATAATGGTAAATAAAACATTCAGAATATTTATTAGGTTATTACTGTATTTCAATCATACTTCTAAATTCTTTACATGTAGTAACTTAATACAAACAGCTCTGTGAGTTAGTTATGATAATATTTAATACAATTTCATCAGTCATTTTGTCACCTTGACTTTCCAAATGAACAATGTGAGTAAAGACAGATTTAATGGCCTATACTGTTTACAAATCAGGTACATGGTGGAGCTGGGATAAATCTAATTTGATGCAAATCCTTTTCTTCAGCCACTACTTTATTTTACTTCCCACAATAAACTGAACGTTAAATCACATTTCCTTTACAACTTAACCAATACAGAGCTCTAGTAGAAAAAAAGAGTTTACATTCTTAAAGAAACCATGGTTGGGGACAAACCACTATATCCCTGAACTCACCTTCTCTTAAGCATACAGCATATCCAAACAGATTTAGTGTAACTCAAAGTAGCACACAAATAAAAATGAGTACTTCTATGCTCATCCAAGCCTTGATGGTAGTCAATCACTATAACCTCTTACACACTCTCTAACTAATAGAGATGGGAAAGTGCTGAGGTATGAATCCAGGTGTGTATATTATGCACTTCTTTCATCTCAGTATCTTCAAGAATAACCTCACATCCCACCATGCAACTCAAGTTGAAGATATCTCCTTCTTGACCAGCAATTTTAAATAGGCTAAGTAGTAAAAAGGTGTGGCTAATTACTTTAAGGAAATTATATAAAAATACTAAAGCAAAACAAGTTAATATTAAAAACTTTTTAAAATGATATTGACCTAAGACATTCTGATTCCATTTTAATTTTTCATGGAACTATCATATACATGAAGTGACTTTAGTAATTATATATTCATTCACATTTTATGTGTTTTTGTCTGTAGACTCTAAGTCTCAAGTGAACACCAACTTTTCCAATCTCCTGTGTATTCTTGTGTTCCAGTTCCTTTAACCATGCAGAAAAT